AATGTTGAGGTTTATGTATAATGTATGTCCAGGCCCTCACACTAGTCAAAGACTAGCTGATAGGTTGTTTGATTCCCTTCTTGATTGGAACATTGATGGTAAGTTGTCCTCAATCACACAGGACAACTGTACCACCAATGATTCAATGATATTTCATATGAGAAATAAGCTTTTGAGCAGTGATCTGTCGCTTGATGGTAAACTGTTCATATGAGGTGTTCAGCTCATATTCTGAACTTGATTGTGAGGGATGATTTGGATGCAATCAAGGATGCTATATTTTTTACTAGGGAGAGTGTTGTTTACTGGAATTCTACACCTAAGAGGGTTCAAACCTTCTTCGAAGTTGTTAAGCAACTAAAGTTCACCTAGGAGAAAAAACTGGTACTTGATTGTCCAACTAGATGGAATTCCACGTACCATATGCTCTCTGTTGCTCTTCAATATAAGGATGTTTTCTTTCGTTTGAGCTTGAGGGACAATCAATACACATATGTTCCTTCTAGTTCTCATTGTGAATTTGGATCTGTTGTGATTGATAAGCTGGAAATATTCTCTGAGATAACTCAGTTATTCTCTGGTACCAAGTATCCAACTGCTAACCTTTTCTTCCCAAAGATTTGTGACTTGAGACTGAAACTAAATGAGTGGGGTCTTGATCTCAACCCTGTGATTTTTGGAATGGTTAGTCAAATGTCTGAGAAGTTTGATAAGTACCGGGATGATATCCATCTTGACTTGCTGCCTCGGTTGTTTTAGATCCTAGATATAAGCTCCATGTGATAGAATACTATGCTGGAAAGTTTGGGAATATGGAAACTGATTTGGTTGTTGAGAATTGATTATCAAACCAAAGCCGAGAAGAAGTCTGGTTTTGAAACTGGAACTTCTTCTGTTAGTTTTGGATCTGTCTCGGCTACTGAACTTGAGTTTGAGCTCTTTGGAAGTCAAAGCAAAAAGAGAAAGAGTTCTTTGATTACTACTGGGTTGTATATGTATCTTGTTGATGATATTATTCCTCAAACAGCAAACTTTGATCTGCTCTTGTGGTGGAAATTGAATGGGCTCAAGTATCCCACCTTGCAAGCAATTGCAAGGGACTTTTTGGCAATACAAATTACATCTGTTGCTTATGAAAGTGCATTCAGTTATGGTGGGAGGTTATTAGACCCTCACCAGAGCAGGCTTCATTATTCAACTGTTGAATCAATGATGTGCACACGAAGCTGGATAATGGAAGACATGCAACGAGGTAACATGCAACTAAACTTTCCTATTTTACAACTAATTTTGTACACTAATATTTTTATACACCTTTCTGCAGAATCGGAGGTTGCTGCTACTATAGAGGCATTGGAGTGATTCTTCTTAGCACCGTTAGTCGAAGATACTTCTATGGAAGAGGCAGAACCAGGGGGTAAGAAAATTAGTGCATTCCTAATTTTGTTCACTGAGATTGGAGGTTGAACTTATGTGTTTTGCTTCGTGGTTTTCAGGTCAAGAAATGGTGTTCCTGAGATCACCATTTGGCCATGAAGACTGATCCATTCTCTACTGTTGAACCAGGTTAATAACTGAAAAACTTTTTCTCTTTTGTTGCAAGAACCTCGAGTTTGTTGGTGTTACTGGTTAGGCTTATGGACTTAAGTTTTTTTACTTGAATGTTTATACATAATTTCAATTGATGAATGATGACTGCCGCTACCTGCTTTTGAATAAGACTCAGCAATAGTTAGGAACTTAGCATGGCTTGAAGCTGCATCTTGCTCGAAGGAAGGCTGCTGTTGGAATTGATCTCAATAGTTAGGATGGCTAATGGCTTGGAGCTTTGTTTACCTTGGTTGTTCTTGCTTTTGAATAAGACACGACAATCGTACTGCTGAGAATGGATTCTCTTTTGTTGATTTCAAGTTCGGATGATTTGATATTGCTCTTGATTGTTGATTTCAACTCTTAAGTTCCGAATGTTGTTGAGTTTATGATTTCATGTTGCTGTCAGTTTCAAACTTCAGTCTTTCAGTCTATCATTTATTGATAATAAAGGGAGATGTTCAGGGTTTTTTCATATAACTTTGTCTTTTTTGTTGATATTGTTGAGGGTATTTCAGACCCGCGGGCACCCAAAAATCCAGCGGTGACGAGGCTGGTTATACTATGGTTGACAAACGATAAGCCGGTAAACGATTTACCGATACCGGCGGTATCGGCGGCCGAGTGTCAAATGGGAAGCTCGGTTTACCGGCCCCAGTATCGGAATACTGACTGTAAATCGGTAATACCGATACCGGACCAATGCGCTGCGTTTTTCCCAAAGCCCCAAAGCCTAAAAAAATGAACCCCCTCTTTCTTTTGGTTTTCATTTCCAGTTTCCTGCCGGCAGCCACCTGTTTTCGTCTTCGCCTCTCCTTCTCCTCGATAGACGACCACGCCACTGCGACGAGCGAGTCTCTCATGTCCGTCGCACGCTTCTCCTGAATCTCCCTTCCGGTCTCTCCTTTCCCTCCCCGATTCCAGCCCCGTCTCCTGGTCCTCCTCCGCCACCTTCCGTCTTCCCCGTCGCCGCCAGGCCGCCATTACTTGGTAGGTCAGTAAAACCAGTTTGTAACCATTTACCAGTAATTCCTAATCGGTAAACCGGTTACAAAACCGGTACCGATAATCGATTCCCCCTTGCCCACACTCGGCATACCATTTACCGGTAAAGTCGGTAACCGGTTTTACTACCAGACCAGGAAGTCCGTTTGCGCCGGGGGCGGGGAAACCCAAAGCCCATCGTGGGTAGGGAACGGATACAGGGTACCCGGCCCCGATCTGCAGTCTGGTCTTCTGTAGACAAATTGCTTAGGCTCACCCTCTGTAACCATCGTATATAATGTATATGTACTTCGATATGCTTGGTACGCTCATAGGCATGTCATAAGTATGCCTAAATCAGCCAGAACGCGCTGCAACCACACCACGATTTCTGAGTTAGCTTCTGACATCGACCTATACTCGGCTTCAATCGATTATTTTGATACCCTGTCTTGTTTGTGACATTGGCATGCAACAAACAATTTCCCGATTATAATACACCAACCAGACGTTGATTTCCTGGTATCCCGGCAACTTGCAAAATCGACATATGCAAAACGCTTCCACTATAAAAGTACCCTTGGCTTGAAAGAATAGTCCCACATCTTGCGTATAATGAAGATACCGCACCTGTCGATTAGGGATGGCAAAAATATCTGTAATCGTGGATATCCACCCGAATCCGATCTAATCGGGTAGGGTAAAACCTGAACCCGAAGCATTTTTCGTGGGTACGGGTAAAACCCGAACCCGAATATTGCGGGTAAAGGGTGGGCATGGTTATCTCACTATCCAACCCGAACCCGCCCGATTATACACATGCATATGTATTTTGTCTAGAAATAATCATTATGTTTCTCTAGAATATTTTATATTTAGCATACAAATATAATATTTTCATGAAATTATGTTGTTTTAATTAATTTTCGTCATTCTAGTGAATTATAGTCGTACTTTTCCTCTTACGTAATGTGAGTATACGTGTGAATGTTAACATATTGGTTGGAATTATAAGGAGAAATTATTACCCATGGATAACCGTGGATACCCGAAACTCGAACGGTTATGGGCATGGTTTTGATTTTCTACCCGTTTCTCGTGTGGGTACGGGTATGGGTAAAACCCGAACTACATTGGGTAGGGTAACGGATATGCACTATCCGCCCCCGACCCGACCCATTGCCATCCCTACTGTCGATGCACAGCATCCAGATGTGGCACACAAGCCGAACCCATAAACTGGCTCAAGACCTGGACTGTATATGAAATATCTGGCCTTGTATGAGTGAGATAAATAAGACTCCCTACCACACTCATGTACAATGTTTGATCTTCAAGAAGCTCCCCTTCATCGTTGCTAAACTTCAAATTCTGTTTCATTGGAGTCGCTAGCATCCGGTTTACGATTCTCAAACTTAGTAGACTTAAGAGATTTTATACATGCTTCTTTTGGTAGACCAATAATCCCGAAGAAGAGCTATCTCGAGGCCAAGGAAATAAGAAACCTTACCAAGCTCCTTTAAATTAAATGCAACCTTCAAAACCTGAGTCAATTCCTGAATGCCATCACTATCACTTTCCGTAATAATCATGTCATCTACATAAAGAAGTAAGACGACAATGCCATTGACTATCCGTCGAGTATATAGTGATGGATCATTATCACTCAATATAAAACCTGCTTTAATGATTGTTCCATGAAATTCTCAAACCAAGCTCGAGGAGCTTGTTTAAGACCATATAAAGAGTGACGAAGCTTGCAGACAAAGCCCTTTCCTCCTGTAGCATATATCGAGGTGGGAACTCCATGTAAATTTCTTCCTTCAAATCACCATGGGACGGGGAAGGCATTTTTCACGTCTAGCTATATAAGAGGCCACTCTTGCATCACTGCCACAACAGACAATATGTACGGTCTGCATCTTAACCACTGGTGCAAAGATTTCCTCATAATCAATACCATACTCCTGACGAAAATCTTGAGCAACTAATCGAGCTTTATAATGTTCGATGGTGCCATCAGGATACATCTTAATGGTATATACCCAACGGCACCCAATGACAGACATATCAGAAGACCGTGGAACTACATCCCCGTCTGATTCTCATCCGAGGCTCGCATACTATATCCATATTCAATTGATTTATTTGGTTTTGGGTGAAATTACGGTAACAAGTCGATCGGCACGTGGGCATTGGCTGGTGTATACTACTGCTACTAATAAAAATATATTATAATTTAATATTATTATTATTGTGATAATAATTAATAAGAAAATGTGTTGTTTCTACTATAAATAGGACTAATCAGAGTGCGATGGGTTCCATACCACACGGTTAATTCATCACGGCCAAATAAAAAAATAGGTCCATCCAGGTCGAGGAAAAGAGAAGAAGACCACAAAAAAAGATCCAACGACTTGATCATGTCTCGCTTCGTGCTGGACTCCAACAACCTGTGGCTGGTCGGCAACTCGGACGGCACGATCGCCATCCTCGACGGCTCGGACGTCGTTGACCACAACCCCAAAGACGTGACCGGTGACGTCAGTCAATGGCAGCAAATGGCTCAAATCGGGACCAACTCGGCCTCCACTCATCAGGAACTGGAAGTGTTCGGCGTCGTGTTCAGCGGCCAGAAGCTGGAGGAGCTGAGGAAGAACACCTACGACGACCAAGTCACCGTGACCAAAGAAGGGTTCATGATCCAGTGTGCTAGAGTTCTGATTGAAGTTCTGAATTTCTCAATTGAAGGAAGAAAATCGTGCAGAGTTCAACTTGTGAAGCTGATTTTATACTCTGGTTACAGAGTTCAACGGAGGGAAAGACTGTTGTAACAACCTAGCTAATTTACATTATAGGTCCTATTTACATTCTACTATTACTAAACTAATCCTAATCTATTTGGTTATTTACAGAACGGTCCTTATTATCTAATACCCCCCGCAAGCTAAGCATGGATAGATTTCAGGTTTAGCTTGGAGATAAGGTCAATGAAAGTGTGGACAGGCAACGCTTTGGTGAAAAGATCAGCTAGCTGGAGTGTCGTGGATATGTGTTGAACCTTTAGTTTCCCAGCAAGTATTTGGTCTCGAGTAAAGTGGCAGTCGACTTCAATGTGTTTGGTGCATTCGTGCTGGACAGGGTTCTCTGTCATCTTGACAGCAGAGAGACTATCGCAGTAGATGGTGTATGGAAGCGGCGGTTGAACTGGAAGTTGATGGAAGAATGCTGTCATCCATTGAAGCTCCTGAGATGTGTCCGCCAATGCCCTATATTCAGCTTCTTTTGAGGAGCACGAAATGGTTTGTTGTTTCTTCGAGCGCCAGCTGATCAAGGAGCTACCTAAAAACACACAAAACCCAGTTACTAATCTTCTAGTATCTGGACATCCAGCCCAATCTGAATCCGAAAAGGCTGTGAGCCGTGTAGAAGAGTTAGAAGGAAAGAACAATCCTCTGTCTGGAGTGGTTTTTAGAAATCGAAGGAGTCTGTGAGTGGCTAGTTCGTGTGCTGTAGTAGAGGAATCAACAAACTGACTTAGTTGATTTACAGTGTAACATATGTCAGGTCGTGTATTGCAAAGATACTGTAATCGACCTATGATTTTTCTGTAACTGCTATGCTCTTGGTCAATTAATGGAGTACCATCATGAGCAGAGAGATGAGTGGCAGGAATGGAAGGGGTAGTTGTAGGTTTAGAAGTTAGAAAACATGTATCAAATAGCAAATCAAGTGTGTACTTGCGTTGACATAAATGAATTCCAGTTTTTGATCTTGAAACTTCCATTCCAAGGAAGTATTTTAATTTACCAAGATCCTTGATTGTGAAAGCAATATCTAACTGCTGTTTTACATAATTGATTTCATTCATGTTGTTTCCAGTCAGTATAAAGTCATCGACATATACTAGTATAGTTGTGAATGATTGACCAGAGTATTTGGTGAATAGAGAGTAGTCACTGTGAGATTTTTGGTAGCCAATGGTTTCTAAGGTAGCCGCAACTTTTTCAAATCACTGTCTACTAGCTTGTTTTAAGCCATATAGTGATTTTGTAAGTTTGCAGACCTTGTGTTGATCTGATGGGTGAACCTGCAAACCTGGAGGCAATTTCATGTACACATCTTCGTGTAAATCACCATGAAGGAATGGTGTGTTGACATCTAACTGCTCCAGATGCCACTTGTAAATGGATGCTAAAGCTAAGAGGATCCTGACTGTGGTCATTTTAACAACAGGTGAAAAAGTGTCCATGTAATCTACACCAGGTGTCTGAGTGTATCCTTTGGCTACTAGGCGTGCTTTGTATTTGTCTATTGTTCCATCTTGTTTGAATTTCAATCTGAAAACCCATTTGTTTCCAATGATGGGAACATTAGGAGGGGGGTCTACCAGAACCCAGGTTTTTGTTTTCTCAAAGAAGCAAACTCCGAATTCACAGCTGCCAGCCATTCTTTGCTTTTTGCAGCTTCTTTGTAAGTTTTTGGTTTTCTGATTTGAGTGATGGCAAGTGCAAAATATCGACGAGTAGGACTCAGTGATCTATAGGATAGGACATTCTAAATGGGATAGGAAACAAAAGAAAGTAAAGAAGCCTGACTGATCAGATTACATTTGTAGTCATTCAGTTTGGCAGGTTTGACAATTCGTCTAGTGGACCTTCTTAACTGAGGCTGGTCAACAGAAATAGGGTCATTGATAGGTTGAGAAGAGACTGGAACATCAATAGCAGGGATTGATGAAGGTGGAGAAGGTAAAGGAAGTGATGGAGGATTTGTATGTGCTTTAGTAAAGTCCAGTTCTGCAGAAACTGCTGGGAAACTGGAAGAGGAACTGAAGGGGTCAAATTTTGATTGACCTATTGAAAGGGAAAGATTGTTTCATGAAAAGAAACATCTCTTGATACAAAAATGTTGTGAGTGTTTAGATTGTATAATCTGAACCCTTTTGTTCCAAGTGGGTGACCTAGGAAAACACAAGGATTTGATCTATGATCTAGTTTAGATCTGGTAGCTTGAATGGTTGCAACATATGTAAGGCAACCAAAGAATTTCAAATGGTTCAGAGTTGGAGGAGAACCATGTAGTTTTTCAAAAGGAGTAAGATTTTGTAAAAGAGGGGTGGGAATCTGTTGATGAGATGAACAGCATGCATTGCTTCACAATTCCAGAACTGAGATGGAAGTGAGGCTTGAAAAAGTAAAGCTCTGGTTACTGCCAAAATATGTTGGTGTTTCCTCTCAACAATACCATTCTGTTGAGAAGTGTAAACACATGTAGTTTGATGAATAGTTCCTTTGGAACTGTAAAAGTCTGGGATTTGAAACTCAAGACCATTGTCAGTCCTGATGTCTTTGATTTTGCTGTGAACTGAGTCTCAACAAAGGCAAAAAAATGAAATGATAATAGGGCGAGCCTTAGATTTTGATTTCATAGTAAAAATCCAAGTATGTCTGCTATAGTCATCTACTATAATCAGAAAGTAAGAGTGACCCTGAATAGAAGTAACAGGGGCATTTATCCAAATGTCTACATGTAAAACATCAAAGGGACATTATGTTTTACTTGTACTAGAAGGAAAAGGAAGCCTTTTCTGTTTTGCTTTGGGACAAACAGTATAATGAAAATCAGAAAGTGCAGTAATTGAGCTGTCCAAACAATGAAAATTTCTAATCTTGTTTGCTAGAATATGGCCAAGCCTGTAATGCCATATGTCAATAGATTGTTGTGCTGTTGAAAAGGCCACTGTGGAGGACTTTGCTGGGGTGGTGTTAAGAATGAGATAGTGTTGAAGATGTGCAGTTTGAGATGGATGATGGAGTATGTACATACCATCAACTAGACTAGCTGTTCCAATCATTGTCAAACTGGGGTAGGCCTGGATAAAACACAGGGAATAATGGAACCATAAGCAGATTGTAGTACTTCTAACAAGTCTTCTAACAGAAACCAAATTAAAAGTAAAAGAAGGAACAAGTACAACATCAAGTAAAACCAGATGATCTGAGTACTTAACAGTTCCTATAGCTGTAACAGGCACTTTGCTACCATTAGGCATATGAACATTAGTGTTCTGAACTGGTTTGGAATGAAAGAAATAATCAGGAGAACAGATAATATGATCTGTAGCTCCAGTGTCTAGAATCCATTTACCATTAAGTAAACAATTCACATTCATAGCATAATGAATGATACCTTATTGGTCAGTGGTTTCAAAACCGTGAGAAACAATAGATTTTGCTCTGCTAATCATGTTATGCTAACCAGATCCCTCACTGTCATTAGAAACTGAGTAAGGTGCTGGGTTATTAGCATTGTAAGCATCTTGAAAATTGGATGGTTGCTGATAGTGATGCTGCTGTGGCACAAAAAACTGAGGTGGGGTATTCTACTGTAGAGAAGGAGGTGGCTGAGAGTAAGGCTGCATGAGATGAAGCATTCTCTGATTGTTCTGCTGGAAGCTTTGCCAGTCAGACTGGTTGATTATCACTGCTCCATTGGATTGTGAAGCAAGATCAGTAGAAACATTGTTTGCCTGTCGAGGAGGTTGTTGCTTCTTTTTGGATTGATACCCAAGAGGATACCCATTCTTCTTGTAGCATATATCCTCTGTGTGACCAGTATAGCCACAAAAAGTGCAAACAGGCTTCTTGCCTTGTTTCTTGAATCCTTGGCCAGTGCCCTGAACACCCAAATGCTGTCCTGCAGCTTTGGTAAAGAAAGCCATGCTATCTCCAGTAGAAGGAGGATGAGTCTGTGGTTTAGGCAACAAGCCATTTTCCCTTTCGTGTTGCACCATCATAGCAAACACTTTGTTTATGGGAGGCAATGGATCTAGGGGCATGAATGTGGAACGCGGCCCATTAAAAATATCATTCAGATTCCTCAAGAACCTAATCACTTTGTCATTCATGTAATCCTTATGCAAGGAAGCTAGAATGCAATGGCAACTAATTCCACAATCACAATCTGGAATGAATCAGTTCGCTAACTGATCCCAAAGAGCTCGTTGCTTAGAGTAATATTGAGAAACGCTCATTGTACCTTGCTTGAGATTGAAGATCGCTTCTTGAAGATCAGCAATGCGAAACGAATCCCCTTGTGAGAACTGCTCTCGAAGCTCGGTCCAGGCACCAACAGCCGTAGTCGCATACAGAATGCTCTCAGCAATTGTAGGGTTCACAGACCTCTGAATCCAGCTGAGAAGCAATTTGTTGTTGCGATTCCAGGGCTCAAGCAGTGGAGAATCGTCATGTGGCTGCGGGATTTTGCCATTGAGAAATCCTAATTTGTTCTTGCCATCGATGACAAGAACCATGGATCTTTCCCAGCTCGAAAAATTGTTCTCGGTAAGAGGCTGAGAAACGAGACATTGACCCCAATTTTTTGACGGGTGAATGAAGAAGGGAGAGACGAGATCAAAGATCGGAATGCCCTTGTACAGAATCACACCAGGATTAGTCTGGTGACCTCCAGTGTGAGGATTTGCGGCTTCGTCGCTGGAGGAAGAAGAATCATGAATCGCCATAGGAGGACGATGTAAAAAACTCGAAGAAGAGAGAAGAGAGATGCGGAAGCGAGAATTTGAGACGAAATCGGCTCAGAGAAGCTCTGATACCATGCTATAATTCTGATTGAAGTTCTGAATTTCTCAATTGAAGGAAGAAAATCGTGCAGAGTTCAGCTTGTGAATTTGATTTTATACTCTGGTTAGAGAGTTCAACAGAGGGAAAGACCATTGTAACAACCTAGCTAATTTACATTATAGGTCCTATTTACATTCTACTATTACTAAACTAATCTTAAGCTATTTGGTTATTTACAGAATGGTCCTTATTATCTAATACAGTGGCTCAACCCTAGTGGCGGCGATAAGGGACCCAAGGAAGGAAATCCCTACCGCCGCCTCAACAATCTCTTCGACTGGTCCAAGCATGGTGTTGAGGTCGCCATTCCGATTGCGACGGAGTGGGACTGGTACCAGTTGGGGACCAGGGAGCTGATGGTGGAGAGCTCGGGTTTGGTCAACCTAGCGAAAGTCATAGAGGAGCTGGAGATGGAGAACCAGACTCTTCGGGATGAGAAGGACTTGGAGATCAGGGAGTTGAACAAGAAGCTGGTCGAGGGGAAAGGTGGCGGGGATGATGATAAGTCTGCTGCTGACAAAAATAAGGAGATCGCCGTCAAGGATCAATAGATCCGTGTTCTCAAAGAGGCACTCAAACTTAGGGGTGGCAGTTCGGTTGTCGGTTACCGTCTAACCGGTCGGTTCAACCGAAATCACCGATTAGCGGCTAACCGAAAACATATGGGAAATAAGGGTCGGTCGGTGTTGGGAGGGGGAGGGATTGACTGCGGTTAGCCGAGTAACCGGAGGGAGTTAACTGCGGTTACCCGACTAACAGGAGCTAACCGACCTCCATCCCAACCAACCAGGCCACACCCCTAAAAACCCTAATCCCCACACAACATTAGACCTCCGCCGCCTCTCTCAAAAAACCCAGAAACCCTGTAGTCTTCACACCCTTCCATTCTGACTCCTCCTTTTCCCAATCTTATAGAAAAACCCTAATTCCCAAAATAAAAAACCTTCCCTTCCCTTCCATTCACCACGCGGCGCGCCTCTCCTCTCCATAATGCCCTCCTCTTCCGAGACCAGATCGTCGGTCGTTGCTCGTCCTCTTCCGCCGCCGCGCTCGTCCCACCTCGGCTTCCGTCATCTAAGCCTTCGTCGCCTCCGCTCTTCCACTTCACCACCATCGTCGCCTCTGCCTCAGGCAGCGATTCGTCCATCTTTGGCCTAGCTCTTCCCGCCGATCGCCGTCGCTGCTACTCCTCGTCGTCCTTCATAGAGATAGAGAGAGGAGAGAGGAAGAAGAAGGGGTTTGGAGGGTAGCAGTGACAGAGAGGGGAGAGGAGAAGTTTGATTTTGTTTAATTATTTTTGGGGAAAAAGGGAGGAGAGAAGAAGAAGAAGATAAAGGATGTGTGGTGTGGCTTGGTTCTTCTTTTTATTTCTTTTTAATTTTTTATTGCTTAGTAGTTGGTTGGTAACGTGGGAGGAGAGCAGAAAAGAGAACGTGGGTGGGGATGTGGGGTTGGTTTCTTTTTTTTCAAAATGAACTCGGTTAATTGCGGATAACCGAGCCAAAACCGAAAATCAATTGGTCGGTGCTCGGCTAACCATGGATTCCCGCGCGGTCGGTGGTCGGCATGCATAAAGGACGGCTCGGTTTAACCGATAACCGGAAAATCGGTTTTAAATTAAACCGAAACCGACCGACTGACACCCCTACTCAAACTCTTCCTCTAATTAAGCTATTACTATGTTCCTTCCTGTCCACCGGCCGGCTCCTCCTATTCGCTTATCTATTATGTTCCTAATTTTTCTTTTTTTTTTTTTTGAAAAACAAATTAGGAACATAACAGATTCTGGCGGTAGCCGGCCCTGTCCACCGGCCGTCTCCTCCTATTCGCTTATCCGTTATGTTCCTAATTTTTCTTATTGTATATGTATTCTGGCGCCAACCGGCGGCCGGCGCGTGGCCTGGTCGTTGCTTACTTTAATTTGTGTGTACCCCATGTTTCATTTATCAGCGCATGTTTGTTGTTTAATTGGCATATACTGAGTTGCCAATTAATAAATAAAAATTGAACTATGTGTTTTTTAGTATCTGAACTCTGTGAGGAGATATGGTGCTAATATCACTATACGTTATTGTATATAGGGATAATTTGAAGAACAGAACGCTATCAATTCATGTGTGTGTTTCATTATTTAGCAATTCTAGCTATTAGCCAAATAACAGCATAAAAATGTAACTAAAGTAAAGACCACTTACAGGTTTTTTTCCTGAGAGGTTCCCGGCGCCTTTCACCTCGGTTGTCATCATAATCGCCGACACGACTCAAGCCACGCATATAAAGCTGGCAATTAGGATCCAAATCTGTGAATCCAATCCATCTACCAAATTATCCACTTAATCCAATCCAATTGATCCAAATCCAATTGGATTGGTGGATTCATGATCAATGCAATGGATCCAAATGGCAAATTACGATTTGGTACCTATATTTTTTAATTTTACATTTTGGTGCCTAAAATTTATATTTTTATACGAAAAAAATCATTGGAAAATTACATTTTGGTACCTAAAATTTTTCATTATGACATTTTAGTAGCTAAACTTTTTCTTTAAGCCCTTTTATTTCTTCGTGGTGATAAAATATATATGAAAAGGCAAAAACAATACTCCTTTTTATTGCTAAAAATAAAAAATTTAACAATAAACTAATGCATGGTATCTAATGGGCTAACCGCCAACCATAAAATAAAAGAGTTGAATTGGCCTGACCTACACGGGATTTGGCCATCAAGTAAAACAAATGAACATCATTGGTTTGCCATTCTAAAACAAACTATTTTCTCTTGCATAATATGTATTATGCTATTATTTTATATCTTAGTGGCTAAAATATAATTTATTTTAAAGTGATTCAATGGTTCAACCTCGACCAACCCAATTAGTCCAATTTTTATCATTTCAAATATATATTATATAATTATTTGATATCATATGATCAAATTATAGTGTATTTTATAGGGAATCGTTTGGTATTTGTTAGTAAAAAACTAAACATAAAGATCTATTTGGTCATTTTAAACATTAAAACGATCCTAAACATTTTCAGTTCCTTTTGAATTTCTATGGTTTTATTCCCAAATAAGTGATGTGCAAATGGCGAATTGTAGTTGTCTCTTTTCTTTCACTATTTTTTATTTTCAAATAGAAAGTTTAAAAGTAAAGAATAATTAGAATTTGGCATGGGTCGGTCAAACAGGCTGAATTTCAAGTTTTGGCCAGTTTGTTTTATGCATTGCAAATTTATTAGCATGTTGATGGAAATGGCTTGGAAAGAAGACATATAAGTTGTACCTTTACAGAAATGTCCTCAAATGTTTGAATGCTTTGTGAATCAGGTTCCGTGACTTTTGTGATGGTGTATGTGCTTGATGATTGCTCGATGTTGTAACTGCTTAATTTGAGAGTAAATCTTTTGATTTTCGCTATGAGTTATGATACCAGTTCTGGTGGTTACAGCATGTTGTCGTTGTTGGCCTATAAAAGTTGTTCCGCCGTGATGCTAAATACCTTTCTTTATTTTTTAACAAATTGTGTAGTAGTGCTATGAAACAGACCACCCATGAACGCTACGCTTATTATGGTCTGTTCTTACTTCCGGTGGTGAGAAATTGTGAATTGAGAATCATATTCGCCTACCGCACTGTGTCTGGCTGGTGGCTGCTTACTGTGCTCTCTAGAGTTATGAAACAGACTACCCATGAACGTTACCCTTATAGTCCATAACTTTGCGAAAAACTAAATTTAGGCAATCAAAGGTGTTGGATGTGTGATGATTTTTTATGGCTTAATTGTTTGTGAATTTGATATCTGATCTTTGTATGGTTAGAGGGGATGCTTGCTTAATAGGATAATCCATTTTAATTCATGTTTATTTTTAACATGAACTTTAGTAACTCAAAACCTTCGAGACACATATCACCTACTGCATTGTATCATTTTGCCTGGGTGCTTGCTGTGTTGTCAAACTTCTTTGCTGCTGCTACTTTTACACTAACAGGGAGTTAAGAACCCATGAATGATTTCGTTTGACACAAACAGGAGGACTTGCTTCTAAATCGTGCAATAAAGATGATTGGAGGAAACATCTCTGTTGCAGTTGATATACTGGAGACTAGAACAAAAGCAACGTATAGCATCAAAACCAACCATCTGAAGTATTAGCATTGTTGCTTTACTCTTTTTTCGTGGTTGAGTCTCCTTCAAAAAATTTAGTTTGATTTTAGAAAATTTTGCTTCTGCAGTCCTGTCTTGCCACCAACGCGTTCAGTAGATGGAGATGGCAGAGGCGAAGGTTATTTTTGTGTTGTTGTTGCTGGTTTAGGGATCGTTTGTGAAGAAGAGGGAGAAGAGAGGGGGAAAGGGAAATGCAGGAGAGAGGGATAACTCTTTTCTCCGAAAAAATGGAGTGAAGAAAGGAATTATGATTAGTAAGGATATGGTTATCTTACATAACGGTCTCTATTCTGTTTGAATTGAGCTTGGAAGGAAGTGATAAGGACGAGCTGCAACCAATTCATAGTAAGAAGAGAGCTATGAACTGTGATCATGTCTTATTTCAAGTTAGAAAGCAGTTTCAGTATAAGGATTATTTAATTTGACAAGTTGTTTCGTCCATGATTCTTGGTAGTTTCAGTGCCATTCTAGCGGTTGTTTAGTATGTAATTTTTGAGAATTGATGTGCTAGTAATGACTTTCACTTAGCTTCAACGATTATGTGTGTATTTATTGGCATGTGATAGAATTCTCTTTTCCTTTTCTTTGAATTCAGTTTCATACTCTAATTGTATCATTTGTACATAGGCAAATCATGCTCGAGATGACAACTCGCTGATATGGCTGGTGCAAGGAACGAAGCCATCATTAGAATTCAGACCGACAACGGGGAGGGATGCCCAGGACTAATTCAATGATGATTGATGATGGTATAATAAAAACTGCAGTCTGCATCAGCACCAATTTCTAGGCCTAAGTAAAGTTATCAACCCAGAACTCTGCTTAGTGCTAAAAATTGCCCTCACCCAACCTTGATCCTGTTTGACCCACTTCTGAAGAGTCAAGATATATGACTAATCCTCTCCGTTCGTATTTTCTTATTGACTCTTTCTGGCCCTTTAGGTTGGGTCGGGTCGGGAAGAATCGGATTAGTGGGTCGGTCCTAATCAAGTGGAATCCAAATCCCTTCACTCTCACTTGCTTTCTCTCACATTCCACAAGTGGGTAACATAGAGTAATCCGGCCAACGGGCCAGGTAATAAGCTAGTAGTATCTATTTTCCCTTTTATTGTACTCAAGTCAACCCACACATGGCTTGCTCTTCTAGGCGTGGTCGATGAGCTCTTGCACGCAGAGCCTGACTGGGTAATTAGGACGATGGAGAATATTGAAGGAAGCCTCCAAAGCCGACGTCATTGCGTAGCATACGCACGTCTCTGCAAGGTAATACACACACATCTTAACTTATATTATGGCCGTTGTAGAGAAAGTTTTTGTCACGTAGGATAAAGAAAGCTCCACAATTTTCCATGTCATTTTATCATTTTTATATTTAAAAG